TTCAATCGGTGAGGATAATTTTAAGCTAGCTATTCGACGGTTAAATTGGTTTATAGGTAACGGAGGGATGGGTTACGTCGGGTAGAAAAGCTCGTTAAAGGGGTCCACTCATACATTCTACTTAATTGAGTTCATCGGCGGTCCAATTATGATCCTAAGTATGAGACACCGTCAGCCATGCGACCGTGATATACGATCCTATTGTTTGCAAGAATCTAACCGAGAAATTGGTGTTATAGAGCTTCGCGCCCTTGCCCTTCCACGGGAAACGGATCCTATAATTCACGAGATTACGCGGCTCTTGATCACCAAAATCGCGAAAATTCATCGTTTCAATTACACATTTAGAAAACATTTTCGATCCTTCCGAAGAAAGATTAATCCAATCAATTCTCGTCCTTTAAATGCTGAGATTTTACGATTCTAACTATAAATAGAAACAAGTAAACTAAAGGCCAGAAGGATCTCTCTTTGAAGAATATCAGGATACAAATATTCTAGATGATAAAATATAAAAAGATTAGTGGAGAATTAGAATAACCAAACTCACGATCATTCAACAACTATCCTAAATTCCAAGTTCATGACACAATCAAACAACTTCAAGCTCGTTCGTTTTCAAACACTCCAAACGACATACGTACATACATCCGTAACGCTTAATGAAAGAAAAATCGAGCAATTTCGAGGTAAAACTTGAAGCAGTTAAATTAAAGAAACACACGCTTGCACTTTTAAAATTCTAATTCGCTCAACAACCAACCAATCCATGATACAATTAACGAGTACAATTCCGTTTATTTCCTACTAAAATCAAATAAGACACAACTAAAGTGAAGCACCAAACTAAAGCACCAAAGAGAAATATTGTAGAGGCAGTGTGCAAATATCATTCTCTATTAGTCTAATTAGCCTATATCTATAGTATAAAGTTAGGTCAAAGCATGCAATACTAGACGTAAGGGAAAAGTAATAAGGGAAAATTTGACAACCAAGCCCAATTAAAAAACGGAAAACAAAATGTAAAGAACAATGTCTGAGGTCTATTTCTAGGCCGAAAAGCTGAAATAAAGAGATACATTCGTTCATACTAAAATCAAATAAAGGAAAACGAAAAATTAAATACGTGCTTGAAAAGTACGAAAAACTTTGAGAAAAACTGAGAGTGACGCTCGCGGCTTAAAGACAACGACTAGCCAAAATTCTAAGTCTCCGCGATACAATTAACCGGCGCTTCGACCTCGTTCATTTTCCTCCCCTATCCCCCGCCAACCCCTTAATTACTAGAACAATTCCGGGCACAGAATTTCCGCCATTCAGGCCCTGTTTTTCACCGGCGGGAATTCCACGGAATTTGTATCCACCGACCAGTATGCACGCAAAACTCGCAACGTATTTGCGCGGCCATATTTTTCCCTCTACCCCCGTTCGCCGCATCGCTCGGACTGGATGTAGCGAGGACGTAGGTCCAACGCGCGAAATTCACAGTTCCTATTTCCCATCGTTCGTTGAAAACGAGCCACGTATCTATGATACGCATATTTTGCGGCCGCGTTTTATCCGTCCGCTTCTTTATGCGCGCTGTTACTTTTTCGACGTAATAAGCGTCACGGCAAACGGTCGTGTTTCAGCTGGCTAGATGTGGCACTTGCATTTTTTAATACTTCCATCCGATTCTCTCCGCCCCCCCCCCCCNTTTTTTTTTTTTTTTTTTTTTTTTTTTGGTGCCTTCTTCTCGCGTCATTTACTGTTTGACTTACTGTTTCTTTCGTTCGATGAATTTGTTAATAACCCTGTCTTTCCTTTGCTCCCTTTTATTCTCTCGTTTCTTTCTTCGCTTCGACTCCACTCGTGATCTCTCCCGTCTTACAATAAATACAAGTCGCTCAAGTAGTTTGAGCAAATCATTCGGTCTGGCGGAGTTTGATTTTGCATTTTTAACTTCGGCTTATTGAATTGAAGGTCAATCACGACGTAGGAAGAGAACAACTTGCTAACGCGCAGAAGATTGAAAAGGAAACCGTAAGAGACAAAAGTCAACTGGACGTTAAATGTCATGTTAATGATAATAATTTAGGATTACATTACTTGGGTCACGTACTCTTAGAATGAGAGAATTGTCAGTGAAAATTACTATCAAAGTAATTCTAGACTTCTGAGACTAAAAATATTCTCTCGACTTTAAAAATATTCTCACGACTTTTTCTATAAAAATCAGTGGAAAGGAAAAATTCCATTTTCAATTCGCCAAACGTACAACTAACTGAAGAACAAAACACGCGGAACTAGCAACTGAAAAATCTCGGGACTCTCTGAATAAAACTCGTTGGAAAAAGAAACCAACGTCAAGAAAGCCAAGAATATTAAATAAATTTCATTTATCATTAATTGCGCCTTAAATGGCCGTAACTAACTAACGCGTTTGCATCGCAAATTCAGGGACACCCGTAATTACGTGGACCTTCGTCGTTGCATGCGTCCCTTTACCAAATTTCGACGCTGCAGCGTTAAAAATTATCCGGCATAAAGGTAGCGAGAACCGTGTGGAAACCGCCAACAGCACCAGCGGGCTCGTATCGTTCGCGGCGATTCTAATTTACTCGCATGTGCACGCTGTTAATGTCGCTGCAACGCGGCATGACGTTGCAGCGCCAAGGTAAACGAGCTGCCTTAATGCTGATAACGCGAGCAAGGGTTTTTCCTCTCGAGTCGCAGGAGAAAAGAAGAAAGAGGAGAAAAGAAACCACCGGAGGCAGAGAAAGATAAAGTTTCGACCGTTTTCAAGATTAACGAATTTTCCTAAAAGGAACGCCGCGTTTATCCTCCTTGCATAATTAATAGGAATTCTGTGAATTAGTTCGCAGAAGCAGGGGTTGCTCGTTTTTTTTAATTAGGTTGAGGCTCGTTCGTTTCGGCCGGCGAGTGAAAAATTTCACCGGGAAATTTAATTGGAAAGTTCTGGCATAATTTGAATGAAGTTTCGAAGAGAAAGGAGAGATATTGGAGGTTGTTGCAGCCGTAGCCCTGTAGAGGTTAAACACTCGATGCGATATTTAAAGCTTTCTCGAGAATAAACGTTTCGATATTTAAAGCTTTCTCGTGAATAAACGTTCAACAAATCTCATCGGGTTCGATACATTTGTTTGGATTGTTGCGAAACAATTTTGTGATATTATTCCCTGATCCAAGAATTTCTCAATGAACGGTGTCTGTTCTCCTGATCCTTAACCCTTTGCGATGGCAACTGATTGCGCGGACCATAACGAGCGACCGAACCCGTATACAATGATTCGTCGCTTTCTTCTTCTTTTGAAACTCGTCGATGTGACATCGCTAGGATATAAATTATTGAGAAGTAATAATATCACTTTTTGTCTTATCCATTTGTTTTGCTTGGGTTATATTTAAATATATTTATAACTGAGAAAATATTGCAATTTTGGGAGAAAAAATTCTCGACGTGCGTGGCACGTCATTTCAGCCGCAAGAGGTTAAGAACGCAAGATTTTCCCTAATCAACTTTCACTCGTTTAAATTTATCCTTTTTTTTAATAGCAGCTGCAGCCTCGTAGAATTCAAAATTAATTATACGATTAATTCACGGAATTAATAGAGAAATATATATAAAATATTAATAGAGAAATATATAATTTTAATACAGAAATATATAAAATATATATTTAAGAAGAAATCTTTCCTCTCCTCCCCCCTTTCGCTAACAACAACATTCGATGATTGTTTCGATACTCAATCTCGTTTGTGATGAGCAAAAATAATCGCCAAATGAAATCAACGAAATGATGTGACAATCGCGCGAAAGAACTATGTCGCAGTGGAAGGGGGAAAAAAAGACGCAGAGAGAGAGAGAGAGAGAGAGAAGGAGAGAGAGAGAGAAAGAGAGAGACGAATGAGAACAACGGTGAAATCTGGATATCGGCGTTCGACCATCGATTGCCACGTTTCACCCCGTGGCCAAAGGGTGGTAAAGGGTGTAACAAAGCCTGGAACGTGTCGGTGAACAAAGAACCGACGACAATACCGTCATCAAATCGCGCTGCCGCCCATAAGAAACAACGGGAACCCGGTGTCGATAAACGCGGGCCGGAAAATTAATTTCCCTGTTTGGTCAGGTTTGCTCGTTCCTTCCAGAAGCCAGCCTTTCATCCACTAATTAGCAGACGCGACCTGATTTTCCCAATTATATTCCACACGCATCTGGTAATTGCGATTCTGTGTTGGTGAGACGGAGGGTAGGTGGTGGTGGGAGGGAGAGACTGTTTTAATTTGTTTCGACGATGATTAATCCTTTGCTGTCACAGAGAGCGGATCGGTTAAATAGTATCGTTTAAATATCTGCTTCGTTCGCTGCTGTTGCGGGAAATATATATTTCTTTGACAAAGTAACACTGGAAATTTTTCTATTTTTGAAAAATTTTAAAATTATTGATTTGTTTTTTTTTTTTTTTTTTAATGGCAGCCTGTATTCTTTTTATATACTAGTCGGTGTGCTGTAACTTTTCATATCGAAGGTATCCAATGTTTATATAGAGTAAATTTTAGTAATTTTTAAATAATAATTCGAATGATTCTTTTTGGCAATTTTTTTCAATAGAAATTCAACATGACGAAGATGAATGATCTGACGAATAATGAAGTAATATTTCTGCAGTATACTTGGAGTATTTATTTATTATTTCGAAAATTAAGTAAACGATTAAAATTTTAATTTGAAGAATAATTTAAAAACGACACATTTTAAATAACCAAATGATGAAACTGACCGATATCACAACATCAAATAACACCACAAATGACAAAATGACCAATATTTAAAGTAACAAAAAAAGAAAAGAAATAATATAAATAATAACAAAAAAAAACAAATAATATAAACGCGTATTTAAAAAACAAAAAGTAAATATTGTGTCGTAAGAAAAGGATAAATCTGACTTTAGAACAACGTGCGATAAATCAAAGCTAAAATCGAAAGAAGCATTTACCTGGCCCGATGAAGGATGTCGTACGTGTTCAGTTTGTTCACATCGATGGGTTTGTCCTCGATTTCGTACTGAGGTATGGGATTGGCGTTTTTGATGATCAAATAGCTCTGAAGGTAACTAAGAAAATAGATAGGCAGCGAAGCACCTTCCTCGGGTACCATGGCCAATCGTCGGGCCACTTGTTCCACCTGAAACCAGTTTCCACGTCATAAATTTCTGCAGCCCTCCGATAACGTTTTATTATAAACTTTATAACCGGCCGACCGACCGGCCATCTCGAAAACCCATTGAAATAAAAAGGAATAAAGAGAATTCAATTTCCTTATCGATTTCAGATAGAAGGTCTCGCAAGTTCGATTTCTTGTGGGAACACGGGTGAAACATAGCTAATCGAATGTTTTAAAGTATAGAATGCTTCGAGGAAGGTGAAACGTTTGGAAAAAACGAAGGGTGAGAATTGTTTAGAGATTCTGCCGTGGTTGATAAAATACAATAAAAATGAAATTTGAAGAGAAGGAGGGGAATTCTAAAAAGATTGTGACAATAAAGAGGCAAAAATTGAAGATTAAAGGGATTCGAAGGAACGAAATTTCGGAAGAGAAATCACGAGAAGAAAATTTTAAAGGTATTGAGAGAAGATAGAATTAAGAATGGAATAAAGATAAAATAGAAACTGAATAACAAAATAAAACGCTGTTGAAATTAAAGATATCCGAAGTAATCAAAATTTTTAAAACTCGCGATTAAAATTTTGAAGGAAAATGTCCGAGGACGGGATAAAAGAAATTCCAAAAAAAAAACATAACGATCGTAAATATTTCTTATATCTTTATGAATGTTTCAAAATCTTCGAAAGGCTGGGCTATTGAACATGAAATTAAAAAAAAAAAAAAGAATGCGAAAAATTCCTAAGACGTGTTAACTATCAAAACTGTCAACATTTTTGTGACATTTAATATTTTTAAAAGGATTAAAAACTCGACTCAAAAAAAAAAAAAAAAAAAGTGCACGAGGATTGAATGCAAGGTGAAGAATATTTTTCTTAGCGCTGCTGTCTTTAATGGGATGTAAAATTTCGACGGGGTAATGAAGAAAAATCGGTGAGTGTATAATTACCTTGAGGAACCTTGCACGAAGAACGTCTTCTGGGAACACTCCTCTTTTCGCGGCCTCCTCTGGAATGCCTTGAATTGCTGCTGTCACCAGCGGATCCTCCTTGGCTGGAAAAAGAAGAAACTTGCTAAGAATAATACATTTCTGACGAAAAAAAAATCATCAACCGAGAGAAATTAATGTTTGAAATGATTTATTCATTAGTTAAAGTATCCTACGTCTTTTAGTCATTTACACGTTTTTTCTTTTAAAGATTCAGCGTCGATTCAACGGAGATTAGACTAATTGACAATTGATTACACGCACGTACGAGTTTCATTAAACGAAAAAACAAAAAACGTCGATATTAAAATTCAAAAGTTCAAGTGTCAATCTGAATTTCAAATTTCCCCAATTTTAGTTTCAATTTCGAATATTCGGAATCCATCTGACTCTCCATTTTCACCTTGTTAAAATACTACAAATCGTGTAAATTGCATTATACTAATGGTAAAAAAAAAAAAAAAAAGAAAAAAATGAATTTTAAACCAGCTTTAAAAAAACTAAATAGAGCTAAATTACGTACGGATTTTCTTCTAACAATAACACATTTTTTTCTCCCGTTTTCAATTTAAAATGAATTTTACACCAACTGATACTTCTCATTTTCGAACGATTAAAGACAAATATCATTGCATCAAGTTAACGAAACAAAATGAAAATCTAAATACCAATCGATATGTAAATAACAATCGAGTTAAGTGTTAATCAAAACAGAGTGAAAATTATACCGAGCAGGCAAAGGCCAGATTATAAATATTGCGCGACAACCGACGTGACGAGGGTTAACCATAATCCATCGAAACAGAAACTTTCTCTCACAATCAAAGAGGGATTCAAAGAGAAATTAAGCTAGTTTATTCGCGTAATTAACCGGTGGAGGGTTGAAACGGTGGGGGAGCGTTGAAAGAGTGCGAAATTACCGTCGTTATTTCTCCAAACCGAAATTTCCAGTGGAAAATTGATTAACATCGGGCAACGTTGACGCAACCCCTCCCCCAACCTCCTCACCACCCTATCCCCTAGCCGCTACTCACCCTTTAACAAATCGCATTATACCAGATGCTGTTACTTCGGTGGAATACATTACTTCGCAATTTTGCGAAATTTTGCTCGGCAGGCCGAAAACGGGTGATAAATGATCGAAGGGAGGGAGGAGGGAGGGTGAAACTTCGAGGCTCAGTTTTCGAGGCCCGAGCCTAAAATTTATTATTACGTTCGGCGACGATACGTGCCCCCTGATATCGGCGCTGCGGTGAATATTCTGTCGTTCCTCCCATTCGTCATATGATAAATCACGAAACAGCGGCGGTAATTGCCATTCGAAGCTATTATAGGAGACAAACTGATTAACTTTGCTTTCTGTAAAATTCGTCGTTTCGTTTCGTTTCGTTTCGCGGTCGAGACGCGGATCACGTCACAATCGGATTTACGAATTACAGCGAAGTTACACCGAAAGCTGGATTTTTCGATCGTCCAAGTATGTAATATTGAAACAGGTAAAAGAAAACAAATATCCTGAATGAGAACTTCTATATGATACGAACATTAAGAACAAGTTAGACTTTATTTATCGTTGAGTTTTGGATGAAGATTAATTTGATTCAATTTTGTTAGAAAGTAATCTTCGTCAGAAAGATATTACAACGTGAAATATTAAATACACGGAATTAAATGCACGAAATTTTAGCAATCCGGTACAAATTATTACCAATATTTGTAACTAAACAATTTTATTTAAGAATTAACTCTCTCAGACAGCGTCTATACGGTAGAACTCCGTTTATGTGAATTTATTCATTGTGTGAATTTATTTATTCGTTTGTTTGTATATCCACGTACTTCTCCCCATCACGTGTGAGAGTTCAGATAATCAAACAAAATTCTACCGTAAATAAAATATATACACTTTTATAATATATACACTTATTGGATATTTTAGGTTTTAAAATTACTCTGACACACAACGATCGAAGTGGTGTGAAGTAAGATTTAAAGGTGCAAAAAAATGTTACACATTTTTATATTTCTGTCGATCCGTGTGTTCATTTTATAATACTTCTCACGTTCCCCGAGTTACTGCTTACAAATTCCAACAAAAAAAAAAAA